GAAAAAAAAGCCTGAATACATTCAACCAACAAAGTCACTCTTCATGTAGGTACTTCTCAAGTACTTTAATGTGTAAAGATGTGTTTAGTTAATGAGGAGGAAAGATAATCAGCAAAAAATTCCTTTCATACAAGGTGGCCTGATCCACAGAACAAACATTACCTGTGTAGTTTATGCAAGTTCTTACCTCATTCTGAATTGAAACACCAAAAACTCAATGAGTTCCCCAGATAGGACAGGAGAAGTTTGGTTTATTGCTTCTTTTAAGAAATTCTGAGTAAATAGTGCTCTTGTTTGTGCTAGCTTGAGCAAAAGGAGTCAGAGTTCAGTGCTGCAGTTGGTCCAGAGTCCCAATGTCTGGGTTACTGACAGTAGCCAAGGATGGAGATGGTTGTTCAGCTTGGTGGGTGGGAAAACACATTAATTCACTCAGTAGCTCCTCAGGACTCTGTGAAGCTCCTGGACAAGTCCTGAGGACAGCCCTAACCTGAGGGAAGTTAAAGGCTGTGTCCAGACTGCCTGGGAATTCCATAGGAGGTTCTTGTCACCAATTAAACAGATTATCTTCTCAGCTTTCCAGTGCTTAGCTCTCCTTTAAGGTTGCACTTCCATGCTACTAGCAGCTAGCATGTCACAGTGGAGTCAGAAGACAGAATATTAGGTTCTCCTTTGATGTGTGTGTAAGTTCAAAGTTTCTTTTGCCTGTTGTTGGAGAGAATATGATTAATTTATCAGCTTTATGCATTAGAGGGTTGTTTGTCAAAGCTGATCTCACTCTACATCCTCTGGTGATGGTTGATGGCACGTGTCAGATTAGAAAGAAGGGTAAATAGTCTTGTTAGATGAGTAACATTGATTGGTGCCATTTTCTCCTTCACATAGATTTATATGACCATGTTGTCCTGTCATCTGGGTTCAATAAGGGCCTGTTCAATCCCTGGTGTCTCTGCCAGCTCTGCACAGAACAGCTCTGGATTGATGTGACTTGTCAGTGACAGGCCACCACGATAACCAGAGCACACTGCTCCATCTCACTCCCACTGATGTATGACCCAGCATTGGCCATCAATCCTCCTGCACAACCCCACAAACACTCACTGGGCTTCTGCCTCCATGGCAGGTATGGAGCAGCTGAGCCCTTTGCTCATTTGCACAGTGGTTTGTCTTCTCCCTGGTTGACTTCAAGGGCAACTGGAGCAGCCTTGCCATAAAACTTGAGTTCAGGCATGCCAACGTGTCACCCAAGAGCCCATGGGATGTGCTTTGCCACTGCTGCTCACACTGTGCAACCTGGGCCAGGAGTCTGCTGCCTCTGAAGCTGCTCAGGGGTGCCCCAGGCGTGGAGCCACATCAGAGCAGGCTCAGGAGTGGCAGCAGAGGTTTGGATTGGATATTAGGAAACAGTTCTTGCCCAAAAGCGTTGTCAAGCTCTGGGATGGGCTGCCCAGGGCAGTGGTGGAGTCCCCACCCCTGGAGGGGTTTCCAAGCTGTGGAGATGTGGGGTGAGGGACACGGGGCAGTGGGGACCTGGCAGTGCTGGGGGAAGGGTTGGACTCCATGACCTTAAAGGTCTTTTCCAACCAAAACTATCCTATGATTCTGTAACACTGTCTGCCTTGTTAACACGTGGTGGACGTGTGGTGGAAAGGGACAATAATGACACTCTAAACCAACCATGTGATCAACTCAGGAAAAAAAGATTAAATGCCTGTGACAGATTCAATCCAAAGGGACAGTATTGGTTGTTTGACTTGATTCTTCCTCAAAGATCATTCTGATCCAGCTATCTCCCAAAGGTAGATCTACCAAAGGGATCATCTGCCAGGAACAGGCATTTTATTTGCCATCTTAATACAGCAATTCTTCTGAGAGGTATTTGTCACCACCTCTTATTTCTTAGTGATTTAAATATTCCTGGAGGTTCCTGGGGTGAAGTTGGGATAAACTGTCGCTGCCATATGTGTGAAGTGAAAAGTATACCTCTGCCCTCTTTTATTTTTCATTTCTCAGGTAGATGTGTGCTTCCTGCCTGATAAAAAAAGGAAGAAAACCTTAAGAGCACATGCTTGTCTGTCTTTCAAACTCTCTAGAATTAGCTTGTCATGAAATGTAAAACTAATGTGTGGTTGTAAAAACCTCTGCCAGCAGTTTCCTCACTGGTGGCTGATGGCTAAGTAGATTTGGAAAGGAAAGGGGTTATTATAAAGTGATTACTGAATAGCTAGGTATGTCACTTTAAACAAGCAGCTAAAAATCCCTCTTGCAGCTTCAGGAGGTAATCTTGTTTGTATCATTCATACTTCAAATCTGATTTTGATTGTGGAGGAGTAATCGCATAATGTAGGTAATTGGACAAAAATATATAGAATGTTGTTTTTCTTTTGATTCCTTATTTAAAGGTATTAGAATTTAAATGACTCACCATTCAGAGTATACCTCTAAAATGACAACACAAATATCAGATTCAATGTGCATTGGCTCAGATTGAAATTCTGCTGGAAACTGAGGAGTTTGTGGCAGCTCTCATGGAAGGAAGTATTGTGTAAATTAACCCAGAAACAATCCTACTAACTTCAAAGGGTTTTATCAGTTACTAAAAGGGTGTTATTGATGATTAAAAGGGTGTTGTTAGTGATTAGACTGATAGAGTTTGGAATCTGAAGACATGGGCCTGGGGGGATATGTGTAGCCATGATTTGGAGAATAAGAGATGAAAATGTTGCATTTTCTGATGCAGGATTATAGCACTCACCCCTATTTCTGTATCCAGTGCTTGTACTAATACATTACTAAAAGCTGGAATCCTCTTCTGACTTCAAGCAACAGCTACACTCATTTTTCTATCTAGTGAGCTGATGTCTTGGGTGCTTATTTATAATGTGCTTTCAGTGAAACTTCTGTAATTGGCTAAATATCATGGTTCTATCCCAAGAATTCCTCTGCTTTTAGCTCGTGTTTCAGCTGGAAATATCACAAAAAGAATTCTCCTAGTGATAAGCTGATGTCAGTACTTCTGAGGCATAGTGGAAAAAGCAGACCTCTCCTCCAGCTCCCATCTGAATCTGAGGAGGAGTGAGAATCCAAGCTGACTCATTTTAAGAACTTGCCCTGCTCGTTTTACTGCTGTGTTTTATTCTTTTCTGAGCTCTCACATTTTGAAACTAATCAGTTCTGGCCACAAAGTGCAGGGAAAAAAGCTGTTAAGTGCTGTTCTAATGGGTTAGAAATGAGACTGAGGATGAGGACTCCACAGCTTTTGCTGGTGTTTTATAACCTTCAGCAGATAATTAATTTCTTTTGAGCTTCACTTGCTTTGTCTATAAACTAAGAGGAATCCTGTGGTTGTACCTCGTGAAGGTAGCTAAGGTTTAACAACACAACACTTCCAAAGTGTGTGATGACACAAAACTGGTGGGAGCACAATCCTTGCATCTGGTTCCATGCTGCAGAGTTGTGGTAGCTGTGATCTTACTGACAACAGGATGGTTTGGGAGATGCTGGATTTTCTCTTCAGCCAGAAAACCACTGGCATCTCTGGCAGGAAAAAGAGCCTGAGGATGAGCTTATGCCATGAGTGAGACACTTCCAGTCCTCAGATGCTGGGAATCAGTTTAGTCCAGGGACCAAAAACTGTGGTGGGGTTGCCCTGAGCTGTGGCTTTTTATACTTCAGTCTTGTCCTGTTGAGACCTTCTCTTCATTAGGACTCTGGATGCCAGTCAGGGTGGTGAAGGTGCTGGGGGAAGGTCATGAAGGTGCTGGAGGAAGCATCATGAAGGTGCTGGGGGAAGTGTCTGCAGGAGGCTCCTTCCTGCCTCTCAGTGCCCCAAGAAGGAGCACAGAAGGGATGCCTGTGTCCTGGGGTTTTTTTTATATCCTCCCTCTCCCTTTCTTCCCACTAAGTGCTGTCCTTCTCTGGCTGACCCACTGGTCCTGTTGAGCCCTTCTCTTCATTGTGACTCTGGATGCCAGTCAGGGTGGTGAAGGTGCTGGGGGAAGGTCATGAAGGTGCTGGGGGAAGGTCATGACAGTGCTGGGGGAAGTGTCTGCAGGAGGCTCCTTCCTGCCTCTCAGTGCCCCAAGAAGGAGCACAGAAGGGATGCCTGTGTCCTGGGGTTTTTTTTATATCCTCCCTCTCCCTTTCTTCCCACTAAGTGCTGTCCTTCTCTGGCTGACCCACTGACTGATGGACACACTACACTTACCCCAAGAAGGGGTCCTTGGGGCCCTATCAGTTCCCTAATCTCTGAATTAAGAGCTGTGTCACTGTCTGATACTACAGAATCAAGTCAGGACCCAAAGCAAGCAGGGTTTGTTTTATTATCCTGTGAATATCAGGAAAGCTGCATTGTCTCCATCTTTTACAGCCTCATCTCTTTCTTCCCTTGTCTTTTGTTACAAGGGGAAATGTAGCTGTCATTCTCCTAGCAGTGACTTCAGGATTTAACTAGAGGGCTAACTTGTGCTTTTTATTAAGGTAACATGACAGAATATTTCCTCCTGGGCAGAAATCTTGCTGTAGGATTTGATCCAGAGGGTTTTTTGTTTTTTTTTTTGCCCTGCCACTTGATTTCTCTTTTAAAATGCTACAAATTAGGTTTATGTCTCTAATAAAATGATCTCTCAGCTCCCCTGTGAATTTTTGGATGTGCCTACTATGGAACTGAGACTTCTTGCTGCTTAGGAGATTTGTTCAGCTGCTTAATGCTGCCTGTCAGGGTCACCTCAGTCCTGTTGCTTTTTCTAGACCTATTTAGCCTGTTTCTTCAGGTGCCATTCCAGTTACACTGTACCCATCAAATGTCCTTTGTTATTCATCATCTCACTTCAATGAAGAAAAGCTTAGAAGCTAAAATGAGGGGGGAAAGAAAAAGGAAAAGTCCTTTTTCATGAAATTTGTCTTAAGTTTTCACATCTGGAGAATTCAGACATGGGACTCTTAGGACTTGTCAGTCTTTGAGGCTTGTTTCTATTGTTGTAGCAATAAAAAATACCCCAAACATGAGGATTCTTAGCTGGGATTTGAGTGTGGAAGAAGGTAAATGTCTTTTTAGGTGTTTACCCTCGGTGAGGATGTTTTTACTGGTCAGTTTAGTCATCAGAAAGGAGACAAGGATTAGCTCCAGTGTGGAATTTATTGGGTAAATGTCTTTTTAGGTGTTTACCCTTGGTGAGGATGTTTTTACTGGTCAGTCTAGTCATTAGAAAGGAGACCAGGATTAGCTCCAGTGTGGAATTTAATTTGCTTTGCTGTTTTGTCTCCAGTTGGCAAACGTTCTGTCTTGGTGATCAACGTTGGTGAGGCCTGGCAATTAATTAAAAAAAAACCACAACCAAACAGCAAACAAAGCTGGAGGATTTGAAAGGGGAAAAAAAAAATAGCCTGCTTTGGAGATGTTAGAGAGAATAAGCAATTTCTTAACACCTTTTCAAGGAGCTGAGATGAATAACATCTTTGAACAAATATTTCAGGCTTGCAGGGATTTTATTAAAAGGTAAAAAGATGATATCCTGTGTAAATTGTTCAGAACGTTCCTAGTGAAGACATGTTGATTAATAAACATAAAAGAGGGAAGATGCATATTAATTTGTTTATGTGTAAGAGGCTTCTAGCTCATTAAAAGTCTTCTAAGTATTTAACTAGTGAAGCAGTGGATAAAACCAGACATTGTCTTTAATCTTGTTGAAGGCTCCGATATGAAAAATCCCCAATTATTGCTAAATATGGATAATAACTCTGGTAATGAGAGTGTTTGGAAAATGTGGGGTGTGCCCCAGCTCACCCTATGGTGGAAATTTGGGTTTGCTGTTCAGTCTCAAGTGCTAGGACCAGTAGGACTGAAGAAAATTGAACTTCATCAGCCACAACCTTTGGTTCTTGGCTATAGAGAGCCTAAAGTCTTTGGGTGTGATTTTGATAGCGATGATTTATGGCTGATATCACCAGAGAGAGCTCTAGGAAAGACTAGATGGGTATCAGCTGATGTTCCTCACATCCTTTTCTTTTGATTCTTTGCTAAACCACTGCTACAAACTGAGATATTTGCACTTTTTATTTTAGATGTGGTTAAAAAAAAAAGCTATTAACCACTCATGTTTACAGGGAAAGAACCCTACAGACTACTTTAAAGGAATTGGAGTATCAACTTTATGTCCTGGCCAAATAGAGATTGAGTAATTGCATTCAATCTAACTTCAAAACAAGTGAATAAGGAATAGCTGGAGAAGCACTTCACACTTTCCCTTGGTGTAAACAGCCCTGCTAGAAAATCACCATGTTTTTACAAGTTTTCCCTGAAATTACATTTTCTTTAGAGATACTTGTGCCGTGAAGGATTTTTGCTCTAAAAGTGTTAACTAAAATTAATTTGTGGAAAAAAAAAAGGGACCTGTTTATTTTCTGCAAGCAACAGATAGGTAGAAATGTAAACAGTGTTTAAAACTGTCGTGGGCTTGAGTTTAAGCATTAAAATTTTGTGGGATTTTGTTTGCTCTTCGCTTTTCATCAAAGACACTTCTCTCTCTTTTTCTCCCTGTTCCACTGAGGTTGTTTTTTTTTCAGAGACCTGTACATTTATTCATGAGAGATAAAACAAGCAACAAATCTTCCTGCTTAGTCATATTTATAGAGCTACATTATTACTCGAGTTACTATTATAATGTGAATAAGTGACCAAACCAGAACTCTATTGATCCTTTTGCAGATCCAATGCGTGGGCCACGAAAACTGGAGGTTGTGGAGATCAAATCCAGACAAATCACTGTTTGCTGGGAACCTTTTGGGTACAATGTCACCCGTTGCCACCGGTACAACCTGACGGTTCACTACCGCTACCAGGCTGGAGGACAGGAGCAAGTGAGAGAAGAAGTGAGCTGGGACACAGAAAGTTCACATCCCCAGCACACAATCACCAATTTATCCCCCTACACCAACGTCAGCATCAAATTGGTGCTGATGAATCCTGAGGGACGGAAAGAAAGCCAAGAGCTTGTGGTACAGACTGATGAAGATGGTGAGTGTTTGTGTTTGCATTTTACAGGCATCCTACCTGTCAATACATTTCTCTTTATAAGTGCATCTTCTCCTTTCACTAAAGTGTATCAGCTTTTCCACCCACTTCAACAATTTTCAGGCAGTAAAGGGTCCATTAAAGCTTTTCTAATGGTCTTTTACATAACCTATAACATCATTTAATCATGACTTCATTAATCACATAACTTGTGCTTGAACTATGTTCTGCCTCTTAAAAGTTCCACTGTCAGCTTGAAGAAACATCAGGTGATTGTCCCCAGTATCCTCACATCAGCTTTTCTACTGAGTGATAGGCTCAACATCAAATACTGATTCTTGATTTCTGGTTTTAGCTTCTCTAACCTTGGCTTTCTGACCACCAGACACTTATTTGCTTAAAGACAATAAGTCCCACATTTAAATGTGTAGCTATTCCCTTCCTTTTATCCATTTTCAGCTAGTTTGGGGTTTTGAGACCTCTTTATTTCTTTTTATTTTGAGCAATAATGTATTTGAGTGTCTGTTTTGAAGCGTGGATGGCAGAATTGGCTACTGGGTCTCTCTAATGCTCTGATAATGTGGCATGAAAAGGTTACACCATCCCCCTGAGTCCTTTGTGATGTTGTTGTGGTGCTCATGCAGAGCTTACAGAGCTCTGTTAGCTGGGACACCACAATGGGACTTTCCTCTTGTGTTGGTCACACACCAGGAATCAGTCTCCCCTTTCCAGAACACTGTGCTGAGGTGTAGCCCCTTTAGTGCCCTCTCCAAGTGTGCCTTGATTTTTCTTGACCTTGCTTTTAGCCATTGAAAATGTTCAAAAAAACTATATCAAAGGACTGGCATTGCCTTGGATAACAGATCTGTCCTCCTCCTGCTTTTCTCAGCTGCAGTCTGAACAGGAATTGTGTTTTCCTCCAAATCAGTGATAGATTTACTGCAAACATCTTGGAAAGATTTCTGGGAAAAAAAATCTTCCAACAATGATGAGTTCTTTTTATAATAAATACTTGAGGTCTGTCATTTAAACCTATTAAATCATTTAATTTATTCTGTATTGGCTTTGTGTGGTAGTAATTTCTAATCAAAATATATGAGGGAATAAATTAAACAATTTAGGAATGTATAGTTGCTAAAGCAACAGATTTGACAAAGCATAACATACCAAAACCTTGTTGAATTAGAATTAATTTAGCTGTCATCCTCTAATTTGGATTTGTTTCAGTTGCAGGATGACAAAGCTAAAGACCTTCCTTCTTGTTATCTGGGCCATTGATGTATTTTCTATGAAAGTTTGCATAATATTTTAATTGCAGCATTTTTTTTGTATACCACACACTTGCAGTAAGGTGGATAAATGTGGATGTAACACAACAGAAGTATAATGACCCAGATTATCTTTAGAATGTTTCAGATCACACAGTCCTGTGAGTTGGGAGGGACCTCCAGGTGGAGTGAGAGCAGATTGCTCAAGGTGTTGGCCAGTTGACTTCTGAATATCTCCAAAGGTGGATATCCCACAGCTTCCCTAGGTCACCTCTGCCAGTGCCTGACCTCCCTCATGGCACAACTCCTCAGTTTATGGCCTTCAGGTCATTTTAGAGGCTTGCTGCAGTGGTTTGCTGTGCTTCCAACTTATTTACACTGCATATAACATCTCTCCTTTTAAATCATGAACCCCGTGGTTCCAAATGAGTTTTTCCAGTTGGCTCCTACTTGGAAGCAAGATTTAGAGCCCAGACTTTAGGTGTTCCTAAAGAGTGACACCTTTTATCAGAACCTTCTGAGATCCCTGACACGTCAGAGGTCATTCTCCTAAATTAAGAGACTTTAAGGACAATGAATAATATCCAATTTTCAGCTTGACTGCTTCATTTCCTCATGTTCACCCTGTTGTAGCTCCTCAGGGCTAATGTCAGTGAACCTCACTGTCCTGCCCAGCACGTGGTCATGGTTCCCAGCTAACCCTCTTAGTGTGGTCTCTTGAAACTCATCCTTGTTCCATCAAGGCTTCTCCATTTTCATAGATAAATTTTCATAGATCAATCTTGAGCTCCCCTGGTCTTGGTTTCACTCTTGGGAGAATAACAGCAGGATGCTTTTTATACCTCAGCAGCACAAGAATAAAACAGAGCATCTCCTCCTGAAACTTTTCTCAAAATGACAGTTTTTTGGGTCTCTTTTTTTATCCACTAGTCCCGAGTGCTGTGCCTCTTGAATCCATCCAAGGAAGCACCTTTGAAGAGAAGATTTTCCTTCAGTGGAGGGAGCCAGCCCAAACATATGGTGTGATTACTTTGTATGAGGTACCCAGCGTTTTGGCATGCTTTGATTGTTATGGATAGCTTTGATTTGCAAGTCTATGATTAGTCAGAAATTTGTTTTCCAGTTTACATAAAATAAATCTTTTATTTTGAAGGTAGTAGCACTTAGAAAGTAAGAAAACCCAATATAGAATGTAGGAGTGAATTGTGCAGGACCCAGAATGTCCCTGGGTTATGAGTTTTAAGAAGAAGACCCATGTGATGAAGAATTCTCTGTAGTAATGTGGATCAGCTATTTAAAAGTTTGAAAGATAGTGAATTTTCTAAAAAAATAGGAGCCACAACAGAGTGGTGACTGTCAACATCACACTCAGGTAAGACCCATTACTGGAAGCCTATTGTAATAGAAACAAGCAGGTGTAATTAAAACAATCTAGCATTTTAAAAAAATGCAAATTCAGCAAAATAATCTGTTGTTAGGTGTCTAAAAACCACTGCTCTTCCTCATGTGGGACCTCTGCCTGCATACCTTTTAGTAAAATTGACAAAACACTGCACAGATTAAGCTGTTAGACACTAATCACTGTTAAGCTTCTTACCTGACCTTACTACAAAATTGGTATTGAAATGCTTTGTTTATAAAAAAAACACCTAAATGAGATACAATGGAAAAGAAAAGTCAGATTGAATCGTGACCTATTGCCACTGTTTTGAAAACTGTTTTATTCTAAGAGGATAAAATGTTATGAAAAAGCATGAATTGATTTTTTTCATAAAGCCAACTACTTTCCTTTAGAGATCAGAATGCTTTAGTTAATATGTTGATGTCTTTATTGATGTTGGGCTTTCTGTACCCAAACAGAGAGCACTGAATCCTCTTTCTGCTCATTGCTGAGGGGCCAGGCACTGTTTACATGCAGCTCATTCTTAAATGTATTTGTGTACAAAACTCCATCAGCTCTCATGGGACTTGGACACTTTGGAAGGTCTTCAAGGCTCTGAACATCACAGAATGGGTTGGGTTGGAAGGGACCTTAAAGATCATCTCATTCCAACCCCCCTGCCATGGGCAGGGACACCTCCCACTAGCCCAGGCTGCTCCAAGCCCCATCCAGCCTGGGCTTGAACACATCCACCTATCTGTGAAGGTATTAATTAGTAATTAATTCACATATCTGTGGCAAAACAGGATCAGCTGTACCTAAAACATCTCTGTGATGTGGTTGTCTAACCTGGCTTTTAAAATCTCAAAAAAAAAGGTATGACCTACTGTCCCCCAGGCAGACCTAACAACACTTATGATCAGAAAGGGAGATTCTTTGGGGTAATATGTAACTTTATTCACTGAAAGGGGTTTTTAAGGCACTTTTGGCTCAATTTATGGATGAGGAGTTGTAGAGTATCTACAACTAGAGTTGTAGTATGTACCCAGATAATGTTGGCGTTTATTCAGATGGCATCAAAAGTCTTTCTTACTGATTTTCAGCACTTTATTGATGTTACATTAGATGAGTCATATGAAAACCTATTTTCATTAAGTCAGAGATGTTAGGAAATTGTAAGTGTTTAAGGTGTGTGATGCTGACACTTAGATTTTTCTATATATTGTTTTGTGTCTTCTTAATTATAAGGATACAGAATAAATATAGCAAAGAGACTGTCAGTTATCACTTTATATAATAAGAGTGCTGGAATTATTCACATACAAATGAAACTTTAAAAGTAAAAAGGAGAGAATGATAATTTCTACTTCTTTTTATATGGATTCCTTATTTTTAAATTCTCATTACAGTGCATGGAAATTAGTAATTAATAGAAGGAAGCTGGATGGAGTTTTACTGTGAACTTATATTAACATTTCTAATGAAAACTAAAAATACTGTTTGAATCAAAGAGGGAACTGAGGATACAATATACACCCTGCATATATTACTTAACATTTTATCTCTTCTCCAAAGGAGAATCTGACCTGGGTACAACATAATAACCTGAAAAATTCCAAATTAGCAATTAGAATAGCTGAGCTGCAGACTAAAATACAAGCTTTACCCACTTGCTGAAGAAAATTTGCCTTAAGCTTCCCTTATCATCTTCTGTGGATAATGTTATTCAGAGCAGTGAGGTGAGCTGGGACTGGGGGTGACACTTTCTGTCACTGGCTGATCTGGTTCTACCTGCTGGCTTTGGTTTTATTGTCAGTGATGGAAAGCAAGAGTCAGATGCTTTCAAAACATGATACTGTTAAAGGCAGCATCTTGAAGGAATTAATGTAAGCCCAAACCCATCCTTTAGAGTTGTAATCTAGCCCCCTCTAAGTCTCTGTATCTCTAAAAGTAATAACTCAGAGCAGTTCTGGCTGAGTCTCCGTGTCCCTCCGTGGGATTTGGGATTTGGAGAGTGTAAGAGAGTGAGATAGCTTATCATAAAAAGCCTGACAGCGCATACATCAGGAGGGTTTAGTGGATAAAGATGCAATCTCTGGCCATCTGCTCCAGGCACTTTATAACTTCCTTCTTCCTTTGCAGATCACCTACAAAGCAGTCAGTTCCTTTGACCCCGAAATAGACCTGTCCAACCAGAGCGGGCGCGTCTCCAAGCTGGGCAACGAAACACACTATCTCTTTTTTGGGCTCTATCCTGGCACCACCTACTCCTTCACCATCAGAGCCAGCACAGCAAAGGGCTTCGGGCCTCCCATCACCAACCAGTTCACCACTAAAATATCAGGTATTTGGTTAAAGAATTTTATTTGAGTTTATTTAAAGTTATTCTTTGGTGACGCTAACGCTGTGGGTAATTTTATTGTGTTCTTTGCTACTACAAGCAGTCAAATTGAGAAAGTAAAACACACAGTCGCCCACGAAGACATCAAAGTTTTCTATATTAACATCTATAAAACTTCTCAGTGCTTAAATATCAGCTGATGCTTTGAAATTCCATTCACAGCTGTCACCCAGGAAACCCTCCGAATCGCGTGCCCGCAGCCAGTGCCAGCTGCTGCTGCAACATTTAGCACAGGGCTTTTTGGACAGGAGGATGAGGGTTTCATTCAGAGCTCAGTCAGCCTTGACGTGATTGGAAATTAGCACAGGAACAGGGCTGGAAAAATCTCTTTAATGAGGCATGAAGGATTGAGAGTGGAGCAGAAAGGCTCCGTGTGTAGCCCTGGTGCAGCACGTTCCTAGCAGGGCTGTGGGCTGGGGTGGATGTGGAACCATGTTAGACAAGAACGTGGGGACTGGTGGCTTTCAGGTGGCAGCAGCGTGGCTCTGTCACTTCTGCAGATCCACAGATGCTGTTTTAAAGCCCCCCCAGAGGCAGAGGAGTGCCTGGTGTCTCTGGGTGGTGGGATGCAATGCCATCACATCCTCTGCAGGGCTTGTGTAACTGAGGACAAATGTTGTGCAGAGCTACTGTTGGATCCCTTTGCTCTTCACTCCTCTGTGGTCTTCTTGGGAATTAAACAGACAGTTGCACTGTGGCCCCTTGATAATATTTCTGGAAAATTGCCTTATCTATTTGTGGGCAAAGTCTGCTTTTCAGGAAGGATAAAGGAAAGCATTTAGGGACAAAATCTTCTTTCTCTTTTACTCTCATTCTGTGTACTTTTCCCTGTCACCCATTTTCTGGCCTAAAATAAAAAAAGGCAATAAGTGTTATTCAGAAATAGAGCAATTTCATTTTTCTTATTACCAGAAAGGGCAGTTAAGGCAAGGTGGAAATTATTGCCAATACAGATGTTTGTAGAGAAAAAAAAAAAGGTCGCTAGTTTTCAAGTTAGAAAATTGTTCTTTCTAGAAAGTCTAAACATAAACAGCACTGATTGGTAAAGGTGAGATTCATTTTCCATCCCCTTTCCTAAACTGAGCAGAAACATTCTCAGTTAGAAATCAATTTCTCACACAGCAAGGCTTGGTAAGCAAGACTGGGTGTTCCACACACAGACAGCATCAACCTCTAGGCTCCTCTAGCCAATTGAGTAGCTCCAACAACATGAGACTTGTCTTCCCCTGGAGGGTTGTCCAGGGCTGTGCCAGGCTGCCCAGGGCAGTGGTGGAGTCCCCACCCCTGGAGGGGTTTCCAAGCTGTGGAGATGTGGGGTGAGGGACACGGGGCAGTGGGGACCTGGCAGAGCTGGGTTAGACTTGATGATCTCAAAGGTCTCTTCCAACCTGAACAATTCTATGATCCTGTGTTAGGGGTTCCAATGTCTCAACCCCTATAAATTGAGACCTATAGTGTGTACATTTCTTACTATCTTTGGAAGAGCACAAAGGGAATTTTCACTGTTGCAGGTGGTGCTGTCCTTGCAGTGCTGTTGGCCTGTGGTCTCCCTGTCAGCCTTTGGGGCTCTTCACCTGCACAGTGCTCTTCATTTTGGAGAGATGTGAAACAAAACTGCTGAGCATTTGTGGATTAAAGACTTCACTATGTGTTTTTTTCAGAACAGATGAGGTGGCAACAGTGTGTTCTGACCAATTTCTGAACTGAGTGGCTGCATTTTACTTTGTCTAACTGCAGGCCACACTTTCAGCTGAATAAAATGCTCTTAATTTCCTGATTACGTGTTTCCCTAACACCAGGCTGTAAATAGTTTCAGTGTTTCATTCTGCAGCTGAGTGATTGGCACCAGAGGATGAAGTGATCTGTATGTAAACACATATTACCCAAAGCAGAGCCTGTGGCAGTCTGTGCTATCCAAACTGATGGGCACTCCACTAGAATAAAGGCTTTTTTTCCCTCTTGCCTATAACTTTGTGAAGAGTCAGCTCTGCAGGCTGGAATTTTCTGTGCTGCCTTTCACACCGAGGAGGTTTTCACCCATTTCAAGAGCAGGGCTGACAACCTGAAAAGTTCTGGTGGCTGCTGTGTCACTGGAAGGCTTTCAAACAGGGGTTGGAATGGTTAGCAAGAAGAGAGACATTCCTCTGAGCCATCACTCTGAAATTCTCCAGATTTGGGCAATTTGTGTGTGTTGCAGTTTGCACACAGATGGATATTTGACAGAACTGAGCAGTGGAAGTCACCATAGGTGCTGTACTAAATAAATAGAAGTTCTCCAAGCTTTTACAGCCTTGCCTAAGGTTTGTTCTTCAACTCAGCATGGCCCAACACAGACTCTGAGGTCTCTAAGGTCTCCAACAAGGTCTCTAAGGACCTTTTAGTGCATCTGAGCTTTCTGCTGATGAAGACCAGGATGTGCAGCTGCAAAAACTGTGACCAGGAAGAACATCACCTCTTTTCTCTGTTGGTAAGCTCCTTCTTTACACGTGGGCAGTGTGGAGGAGGGAGAGTCCCAACCTAGACAGGAACAAAGTGTAAGAACAGGTGATGTCCAGGTTTTTGTGGAGAAGAGGAGAAGTAGCCAGGGCTAAAAGGTGGGACTTGGAGAATGCTGATGAAGACCAGGATGTGCAGCTGCAAAAACTGTGACCAGGAAGAACATCACCTCTTTTCTCTGTTGGTAAGCTCCTTCTTTACACGTGGGCAGTGTGGAGGAGGGAGAGTCCCAACCTAGACAGGAACAAAGTGTAAGAACAGGTGATGTCCAGGTGTTTGTGGAGAAGAGAAGTAGCCAGGGCTAAAAGGTGGGGCTTGGAGAACCACAGCTCATCTCCTGGACAGGAAGACAGTTTTGGTGGGAGGAGACTGAGCATTAGTACAGAGCACAAGTAGGGACCTAGGAGTCATGAATTAGGAAGATCACAAGACTTGTGAAGATTGTGGGCAGGAGAACAAGGGCAAGAAATGACTCTGTGCTCCAAAAACCTTCAGAGTTCATACAGCTCTTTGGAGATGTGGTTGCTTTGTGCTTCCTGTATTTTCAGAATGGTCAGCTTGAGAATGAGGCATTTTGGGAACAAGTTCTGGACATTCAGAACTGAAATATGTGAAAATTGTGTCAACCTTTAAAGTGCTGGGCAATATTCTGCCTTTAAGCTTCTCAAAGTGGGCACCCAAATTACTGAAGATAATTAGTCTTGATATTAGTGCCTTATATATATTGTAAATTGAATAAAAACCTCTCAGCTTACAAGGAGTTTTTTTAAGATTAAAGGTTTTTTTATTGGTGAGGCATTTCAAACCTGGAGAACATCAATGAAAAGCAATGAAGATGATGTTAATCTTGGAGCTATTTAAGTTGCTAGAGCAACATAAAGGTTCATCCTACCTGTGTGTGGAGCATAATATACTTTAGTAACATCATCAGTATGGTACATGAAGTACCCAGCAGCTGGAAGATGAAGCTAAACAAGCTGAGATGCCAAATAAGTGTCCACCTTCGTTGTGGGGTGTAATTAGCCACTGGAAGAACCTGCTGAGGAAAAGATCTTCTCCTTCACCCAATGTATTTTCTTTTTGAAGCAGGAGTTAGCTGAAGTTCACTGCCCTTTGTTACCCCTGTGGTCAGAAGAGATCATTGCAATGGCTGCTTTTTGCTGGACAGGAAGGCTAGAACAAACTGGACAATAGGGGTTCCACAGACTGCTAAACAACCAATTAACCCAGCAGCCTTCCATCCAAAATAATGATCAAACTGCCACGAGATGATAGCACTGAAAGAAGCAGCACCAGTGAAAGACAAGAGCTGAGCCATCGTTCATCTTCATCACTGTAATTCCTTCACAGTTTGCAAAAGTGCTTCAAAATAAGATCAGCTCTCCTGGTGATCATCCTGCTTGGTTCTTGTAAATGACATCTGTCTGGGCAAGAGACCCAGGGCAGTTCCAGCACTAGTTAAAATTCCAGGAGTGACAGATTCTGAGAGTGCATCCTGGTGAAATTCCAGGAGTGACAAATTCTGAGTGTCCATCCTGGTGAAATTCCAGGAGTGACAGATTCTGAGAGTGCATCCTGGTGAAATTCCAGGAGTGACAGATTCTGAGTGTCCATCCTGGTGAAATTCCAGGAGTGACAGATTCTGAGTGTCCATCCTGGTGAAATTCCAGGAGTGAGAGATTCTGAGTGTCCATCCTGGTGAAATTCCAGGAGTGGCAGATTCTGAGAGTGCATCCTCGTGCTGCTGAGGAAGCTGGGCTCACTTTTAAAAGCTTCAGTCCCTTCAGCATCCACATTTTCAGATGCTTTTCTGGAGAGAGCTTATTTCCCAGTCATGGATTCTCTACACTTGCTGCAAACTTACTCCTCCTGGTCTCTGTTTTCCTCTCTTGAACTTGGCAGTGAGCTGGGATTTCTTTGTTGTTGGGGTTTTTTTTTGTGCTGAAGTTATTTAACAGTTGTCTCACACTTGCATTGTAACAGCATCTTAAGACCTATAATAACACTCTTTATAGTTGAAGAAAACTTTTCAAGTTACCTATTCAAATAAAGCTACAACTCTTGAAAGAAGAAATACAGGAATAATGATTGTTTTTGCCTCTTTTCTTATTCTAGCACCCTCTATGCCACCGTATGAACTTGAAACACCTTTGAATCAAACTGACAGCACTGTGACAGTCCTGCTGAAACCTGCACAGAGCAGAGGAGCTCCTGTCAGGTACTGGGGGGGGAAATCTCCACAAAATTAAACCCAAATTGATTAATTTCGTGAAGACGTTTTCTGGGGATTTTCTACACAGCAATCAGTGTCTAAATTCATGTCTGTATTAGCTCTAATTAAATTAAATAACTGAAGAAAATGAAAGTGCTTTGATGTTGGGCGTTGGTGTATTGTTTAAAGGATTTGATCCTGATGCAAGTGGCTTGTTCTTTGAAGATAAGGAACAAAGCCATGGTTCTGTTGTGTGGGTGGCTTCTTTAAGGTAATTGCTTACTGCAGTGTTATAAGTTCAAGGGCATATCACATTTTTTATGCTGAGCTACTGTCTTTAATATTCCCTCTTCTTGTTTACTTCACAGAGTTGAGATAACCAACTCAGAGGAAGTTAGCCAATTTAAACAATGTGCACTGTTACATTCATAAAGGATGTACATTTAATTGACCATGATAGCAGAAATAATAATAAAAAAATCAACCTGGAAAAGCCAGTAGCTCAGATTCTTTGGTATTATATCCTAGTTATTAATGAATTTCTAGTTTGCAGAGGTTTATTCACCACCAGATACAGGGTGCTGGGTAAGTCCTTCATTGATGGGAGCAAAACCTGCCTGCTTTTCAGGGAAGGAAACAGAGGAATGGTTAGATTGTTTTGAATGAGAACCAGTAGTGAGCTCAAGGCTCTGAATAAATGAAAATACAGATGAGGGAAATAGAGATGTTTCAGAGGTTTAGGGTGTTTTTCCTTTGGGCAAATGAAATACCATCAAAAATTATTTATAGGATGTTTCCACCTATAATGAATGGCTCTCAATTATTTTCATCATGATGCTGAGGTTTTGGGTAATTTCTGTTTGAGGAATGCAGATTTGATATACTTGGATATGTGTGAATGAAAATAAACATTCTTTGAGTTTCTTCAGAATATTCAATGATTCATATAATTAGGGTTTTTTACTATGCAACAAGTTAATTGTTGCATTGTATATTACATGTGTGTAGGTCTGCATTTAGGAAATACCATCCCATTGGTCATTTAGACAACTCTTTAAAGGGCAAATGTAACACTTTGGGCAAGTCTGAACCAGCTGAGAAAAAAACAGATTAAAACAGATTTAGTGAAGCTGTTTGATTTAATAGATGAAATCAGGAACAAAATGATTTGGTGCTTGTCTTCACCTCAGAAAGCTGTAGTGTAGTAGTCCTGAATTCAAGCATCTGGATTAAAATAATACCAGTTGGAGCTGTTGTATAAACACAAACATATTAGAACTATTAATAAAAAAGCAGTTTCATCCCTTTTATCTGCATCCTGAACTAAAGATGATTGACTCCTGCAGCAGCAGTGACACATCAGAAACTTCACTGACAGTGGCAAGGAGCTAGTTAGGAGATTAAAGTGTGCCAAATAATGGGAGGAGAGATTTAAATATAAAGCTATAGAACTGACAGATGAACACACAGCAGCAAATTTACCAAGGTCCTTTGCAACAGGTCTTAAAATTCTTGTCTGCAAATTCACTATCTAAACACCGAGTGAAGCAGAGTCAAAATGAAAGAAAGAATGTCTCAATACAATTTACACTCTCAAGCATGCTGTCACTGCCTAGAACTCCTGCAAATGGATTTTATCATCTTAACCTGTGTTTACTGGGTGCCAAAAGCGTGGTGGTCCTTCATCTCTGCACCCCACCAAGCCTGGTGCCTTGTTTATTGATTCAGCTCCAACCAGCAGCTTGGTTAATGGAGATTTTTGACACAGCCCCAGACTTGCAGTGTAAATGCTCCTTGTTGTTTTATTGATCAACACATCAGCCATGCCACATAAAATTCTTCAGTTCCTGAGGTGGGTGAGGAGAGCATAAATCCTACTGCTGAAGTCAACAAAGCTGAGACCTGAGGTTATTCAAATTTAGAGCTTTTTGATATCTTCCACTTCTGTTTCTTCACTTAAATATGAAAAATCCTGCTGTCTTAAACCTTATTTCAACTCCTCACACAACCACTGGAGCATAAAAGGAGAGGAGGGGCCGTGCTGGTTGTTTAACTGTTGATTCTAAAGCAGGCTTTAGAGAAACATCCCAGGAGCTCTGCTCACAGCAACAAAGTGCACGTTAATCGTGCAGCCAAATGGCAGCCCAGGTTCCTCTGGAATTCCTGAGATTGGACATGATTAAATTGTCTTTTCTCAGAGTTTTAATACGAGTGCTGCTTGCTTTGTCCCCAATCCCAGGTCCAGCGTGTGCTGGGGGTGTTGCTGGGTTTGGTTTCAAGGAGGTTATTTCAGAGTGATGTGTGTGTGAGGCAGGAGTGTGTTCTGTGCTGCTCAGTGGATGTCCTGCTCTAGCAGCTGCCAAAGCTATCTGGGTTTTTAAAGGGATTGTCATTTGCAAGGCTTTTTTTCTTTTTTGATTGCAAATGATGGCCCTGTGGAAATTGTGTAATAGGGGGCTTGTTATGGATATTCTTTCTTTCAAAGAGAGGAGTAAAGATGTTTTTAAAATGCTGTAAAAAGCATACAAATGCAAATCTTTTCTTCTGTGAGGGCTCTCCAGCACCCACTGAAGGACTCACTCTTCTAAGGCAGTATCATCTGCACTTTGTACTTCCTCAGGGCAAATTAGCCTGAAGTTTAGAAGATTCTGGGGCCGTGTTGTCTGGATGGATTGGTCAGATCCCAAATTGTCTGCCAGTCCCTAGGTTGGTCAGTTCCACACGCTCCACCTGAGGAATGCTCATTTATTGCAGAGGCCTGGCTCAGTCACCGCCATGGAGAATGTTCAGTGACTCAGGGACTGCATCTATTCAGTGATATTTAAGTGTTCATTTGTGTGAGAGATTTAGATTGTTTGCCACGTTCCATTAAAAAAGGTTCTTGTGACCTTCTCTGGAAAAGTTTCCCTGCCTTAGGAGTAAACAGCCCAAAGATAACCCCAGCACCTCCACGAGTCCCTTGGGAGCAGCAGGCTGGGGAAAGGAGCAAGAAGAAGAGGGAAGAGCATCCAGGATCTGCCTCGTGGTCTCTTTCTCATCTTCCATCTCAGAGTTTGGCTCTGTAATTAAACCTGGGGCTGCAGAGCCCAGACTGGGGAAAGATAGAGAGAGAGAATTGCAGCAATTGCCCAGCAGCAGAATTGAAAAGGACCTGAAAGAACACGTGCAGAAGTAAAGCAAATAAACTTTTAAAGGGATAAGTAAATAAACCTGGAGTTGTGTGAGCTGCAAGCTGGAGGCGTGCTCGGGTGAGGGCACTCTGTACTCTCAGTGCATCCCCTTTACCACCAGCGTGCCCAGCTTCTTCAGCATGTGTAAATAAGAACAAGTCTACTGGGAAAGTCAAGCAAACAGCTCTTTACTTGAAATGCTTAATTTTGAAACGTGCTGGTAACCACTCTTCCTTGAAGAAGTGATGCACGTTACATCTCAGCCCAAAAGGCCTTATTAAGTTAAGCGTTTTGAAGAGCAGCTGAAAACTGCCACAGAAATTTGTTATCTACAATGATAAGCACTCCTTTCTACTCCTTCCTCAGATAAACACTTCAGGATGTGTTCAGGATTGTCTGAATTCCACAGAGATTTGCATTTCTTCCTGCCTAATCCAGCCTTTTAAAGGCATCTTGTAAATCCTGGGTTCCTTGTCGCGGGTGGAGTTGAGGCCATCTGCACGTGGTCCCTGGGATGGAATCCTAGAATAGAATGATTTTGGTTGGAAGAGACCTTTCAGATTGAGTCCAGCCATTAACCCAGCACTGCCAGGTCACCACTAACCAGGCAGGGAGGTTGGGTTAGGTGATCTCTAGGGCCCCTTCCACCCTCAGCCACTCTAGGATTTAATTCGCTTGCCACAAGCATCCCCCCCTATTGAGGAAGGCTCTGTAACCATAAAGGTTTGAATTGTGTTGGGCAGGGTCAGCTCTCACCTGCAAATTGTCTTTCCAAATGGTGGTTTTCCAGCCTGCAAGGCAGCCAGGAGACTTGTGTGAGGGTGTCTGCAGGAGGGAAGGACAGGGGTTTATTAACACGCGTAATCGCCGCCGCTTTACAGCAGCAAGTGTAATTATTTACAGCAGAAGGGTCAGTTTTGCTTTCACTGAGGGAACAGCACAATAATTGCTTATGCTGTAAAAACGCTGTAATTCTTTTTTGTTACTCAGTAGAACTTGTCCTTGGATTTTTACTGTGCCTGGAGTCAGGATTTATGGCAGTTGTTGGCTGGGCCTGCGGGGTGCAGTTTCCCACGGCCCTCTGGAGCCCCCAAAATTGCCCTGGACCTGCTTCTGCCACTCCTCCCAGAGCCCCTGGGTAAAGGAGCATCGATCCTGCACTTCTTTAGGGAGCAATTTGTGTCACTGAGACCCCAGCATCTAATGCTGTGTCCAGAGAAGAGCCACGAGAATGATCCAAGGGCTGGAGCAGCTCTGCTGTGAGGACAGGCTGAGAGAGTTGGGGCTGTTCAGTCTGGAGAGGAGAAGGCTCCAAGGTGACCTTATAGTGGCCTTCCAGTATCTTAGGGGGGCCTACAAGAAAGCTGGGGAGGGACTTTTTAGGCTATCGAGTAACGACAGGACTAGAGGGAATGGGGCAAAGCTGGAAGTGGGCAGATTCAGGCTGGATGTGAGGAAGAAGTTCTTCCCCAGGAGAGTGGTGAGACCCTGGGATGGGTTGCCCAGGGAGGGGGTTGAGGCCCCATCCCTGGGGGGCTTTAAGGCCAGGCTGGAGGAGGCTCTGGGCAGCCTGATCTAGTGGGAGGTGTCCCTGCGCATGGCAGAGGGGTTGGAACTGGGGGCTCCTTGTGGTCCCTTCCAACCCTGACAGATTCTGATCTGTTTTAGCAGAGGACTTTAGAGCCCTAATGGCTCAAGGGTTGGACTTGATGATCTTGGAGGTCCCTTCCCACCTAAAGGATTCTATGATTCTATGTTTAGTGATATGATTAATAAAAATCAGTCTGTGATACATAAAGCAAGCTAGAGCAATTCCAGAATGGGAGAGAGAGCAGGTCGTGCCATGTCTCTAACAAGAGTATTTTTC